AAAAGCACTTCTGAATTCTGATCCAAACAGTTGGTGTAAGTTTATAATTATAAACTTTTTTTAATATTTTATACTTTCTTATTATTTTTATTTTAAAAGATGTATCCTTTTCATAAAGGAAACTAATATTATAATTATTACATGAAAATTTTACAAACAGTTCGCATTTGTCAGTACCAATTAAATAAACAAAAAAAAGAATATAACTATATAACATATTAAAAAACAAAATAAAATTTTGTATGTATTTATAAACAAAAAGTATTATGGCCTTGCTGTTTGGATGAGTTCTTACAGGGTTTTTACGGAAACATTGGCAACTCAACTATTCTCCCATGCATGTAGAGATTATGCCCTTGCTGTTTGTTCTGAGATCATGGGAGAATAGTTCAGTTGGTTCAAAGGTAAGATCCAATGCTATCATAGACATGCCAATGAAATTGTTGTCATCAAAAGTCTTTTGCATAAGGAGTGGGATTGTCTTCTTTGGCAAAAATGGGGTCTTTAACGTATGTTAAAATCAAAATAAGTGTTTTTTCCTTTTGTATTTTATGCATTAGAAAGTTCAAACTTGTGTTTTAAAGTGTTCAAACGGTAATTAACTAAATAAATATATATGCTGAAAATCGCCTCATAAAATTGGCTTATGCATAATAAATTATGTTTAATATATAAAGTATCTTTTATATATAGTAAGTAAATGAGACTTAATTATCGATCTTATATATACCACAAATTTTACAGTGTCGGTTGTCTTTATGGACAATTGTCTCTTCTGGAGGGTTGAAAGTCAGAACATATATGTTTTCTTTTTCCCTCACGTATCTTCCAGTATACTAATTGAATATTTTATTTTTATCCACTAAATAGATATTCAATGAGAACAAATTGATATTTAAGTACCCGTATTTTCTTTCATATATATTAGTTTTAGTTGTTATGAAATACCTTTTTTTTCTTTTTTTTTCTTTGATGACATCTAGAAACTATATGTCCATGTTTCTACAAATGGACAAAAAGTAGAATAAGAAAATGGACATATTTTTTCTTATCGTCATTCTTCATATCAATACTGATGTTGGATCTATCTTTTTTTTTTTACAAAATTTTGTTGAGATTGATAATTTCATTAACAAAATTAGGTAAGTGTTAATTAACACAAACTACTTCTTCATCTTAGTAGTATAGTTAGGGTAATATGTCTAAGATCTTAAGTTTAAATTTTATTGTAATTATTGTAATTTTTATGAATAGAAAATGCTAAATCCTCCTTTATTCTAGTAATTTTAGGAGAATGTATAATTTTTACTAGAACTTGAGCATCACCAAGTATGGTTTCAAGCACATTAATCTTATGTGTGTTGGGAATCAATGTAAAAAATTAAATTATTTAATAATGGATTACATGTATAATTGATTATTCTCAAGAGATTAATTATAATTATAATGAATTTTTGTTTAATAATTAGTTGCTAAAAAAATAATTTTAAGATATTTAATTTTATAAAGATACAACAACAAAAAAATCCTGTTGATGCAAGTTCATTCACTTCATCTTTTCGATTTCAACAAAAGTTCATTCTCTTTATCTTTTCAAGTTCATTCACTTCTTACACTTTATCTTTGATGCAATTTAATTTCTCGTCAATTTTTTATTCTCTGTTAACTTACTTTCGAACATTTTAAATATCCCGTCAAATTACTTGTAAATAACTTTTTATGATGATTTATGTTTTGTACGCTTTTACTCCTATCTTCTCAGCCAATTAATTTGCATTATCGCACGGTTCAGATATTTTTGTTAACTTACTCTATCAATTTATTTTTCCTGTTGCATTCTTTAACATTTTTGTCAATTTCTTCCTTGTTAATAATCTTTCATGTTGAAAGGTTCATACTTTTTGTCAATTTATTTTCAAGGTGAATCATTCTAGTCATTTTTCGCTTCTCAACTTTCTACAAGATTATCACATAGGACAAGACTATAAATTTTCAAGGGGTGACTATGACAATTTCCTCAATATCACTACAAACAAAATGTCATGCCCACACAAAGGTTCCAATTGGCCAAAATCTCCATAGATACGAATATTATAACAGGATTTATTATTAACAATAATTATTTAATAATAATAAGTTAATAGTTTCAATTTTATTATCTAATAAAAATATTAATGACTAATATATAATAAGAAGGGATTCGTTTATTTCAAGAGTAAGTCTATCTAGATTTATTCCGATCAATAACTTATGTTCTACATCAAATTTCAACGATTCAATCGTTGGATTTAAAGTTCTTAATACATAGAACAAGTTTACAAATTTTTAGAAAATTTGAAAATCATTTAATACTTCATTTCATTAATTTAAATTAACAGATAATCATAAAATTATTTTATACATTGATTTGAATTAATGAAACGAAGTATCAAATAATTTTAAAAATTTTAAAAATTTACAAATTTGATCTATGCATTAAGAATTTTAAATTCAATGGTTAGATCGTTGAAATTTGATGTAGAACATGAGTTATTAAACTTTAAGTTTAGGTAGATTTACTTCGAGAATAAATGGTTCTCTCCTCATATATAATAGCTACTAAAAATATATTTACATTACACCAAAATTTACTATTAACAATAATTATTATTAGGAAAAACTTAAATTTCACATCGACTAGATATAAGATAATTAAAGAGTATAAAAGCATATGATAACTTTTACCTTACAAGTTGATTTTGTAAGATTGAGTCAGACCCATAATTCACTATTCTAATTGAACAAAACTTGAGGGGTGTATTGGAAAAAAAAATCTAAGTCTCACATCAATTATAAAGAGTATATAAGTAAAAAAGTATATAAGCTAGGAATTATTTCTTAAAGAAAAATTAAAGTTTCACATCGACTAAAAATAAGATAATTAAAGAGTATATAAATTATGAATCATTTCTTAAACTTTTAATGGTAATAGCAAAAAAAATATTGAATTTCAATAAAAAAAAATATCACAAAAACTTATACATTTTTCTCGACCATTATAAAGATTTTTAGCAGTATGTGGAATAATTGTCGGTATATATTTTACCAACATTACATATAATGATTAATGTAAAAATACTGATAAAATATTTTACAGTCATTTTTATTACCACTAAAAATAATATTAAATGTAATTCAAAGTCTATTTTATTGTAATGAAATATATATATTTTTAATATTTTTTTGACATACTATTTTATTTTTTAATGACTTTTTATAATCACAGGAAATTAAACAAGGTGGGGATGAATATGCTATGTAGACATTTTCAATCCAAAATTCGCTGGAATAAGATGATTTGCAATTTTCCCCCTAAAAAATGTATCTTAATTTGTATTGATGTTTACTTGTAGATTAGAACTTCCTAACAGCTTCTGATGTTAACATGAAATATTTTTTATATAAATTTTGAACCCTTCTTCATATAATTGGACTCGTGGTTTTTATTTTTATATATAAATTCTGGTGATCTAATTAAATTTATCAAAAACTTTTGCTTTCATTTGATGAAACACGTGTCAAAGGCTAGAAAGTATGCGATAAATTGAAGTTAAAGGCTAAAGCTAAGGCATATTCTCTCCCTTCTTTTTTAATCAATGTGAAAGTGAGTTCAGTGTAAGATAAGAATGCTTTGAAGTTTGAACTATTCTGGCTTCTCTTAATCTTATACGTGTTAACAATATTCTGTATTACCTCCTTGATGATGAAATTGAATGCCTATTCAGAACTTTGAATGTTGAAAAATGGTTAGAGAAAAGTTTGAAAATATATCCTTTCGTTTCCATTAAGCATATGAAGTGGCCTAAACAGAGACATCCCTTCCAATTTAATAGTAATAATATATCTATCTGTGTATTGCCCTTGGCTTCAGATATCAACACATCGTGTTCTTTTCACTCTGCAGAATGGTGTTCCACGCGAAATGTTTATTATAAAAATAAAAAAATAAAAATGATGGGGAGAAATCCATGTCGTACAGTTAGTCTTGAACTCTTGAGAACCGTCACCCGTGTTCCACGCAACGGTTAATGCAATTTTCTTTTTGAAACGATAATGCATTTTTTTTTAATGAATCTGTTAATGAATGTTTAAAAATTATAAGTTACAATTTAAAAAGTTTAAAATTTATAAGTTAATTGATTAAATTAAAAAATGTTTGGTAAAATTAGTTAATAATTATAAATGTCGTGAAATATTTTTTACGGTGAGAATGAGAGTGATAGAATAGACAAAATAATTTATAAATTTAAAAAGTAAAAAGTAAATAGTAAATCGACGAAGATAAAAAAAGAGAAAAAATAAGAATTTATAAATTATAAATTTATTTTTTTATTTGTGAAGGGTTGAGTTAATGTGCACAGAATTTTTAAATTTAATCATTATTTTATAAATAATGATTAAATCATTATTTTAAGATTATAAAGGAGAAATAAATTGAAATTAATTTAATACCTAAATATAATGTATTTGTTTTTAAAAAAATAATAATCTTAATTTAAATGAGATTTTATTATTATTAAAAATGTAATAACTAATACTAGTAAATCACTGTGTCATACACTGTATTTGATAATCAAAGGTAATAGAGGGAATTGAGTAGATCTTTTAAAACTCAAGACTTGGTATTATAAATTAAAAATCTAGAAATAAAATTATTTAGACTCTATAATACTATTAGTCTGTCTCCATTTGTGCACATGGGATACATTCAACAAAAGTTTAATCTTCAAAAAGTTTGCTAATTCAATTATTGACCCCGTCGCTAAATAATCATTCTTAACCACTACACGGTCAGGACTCAGGACCAATCTTAATTATTATTTACAGCACCTCGGAATTTAAGAAATAAAATTGTTTATGAAAAGTGTTATTAATCTAATTTTAGAAAAATGTTGTTCTACTCTTAACCATCTCCAAGTTTAAAAGAGTGTACAAGAGAAATAATTAGCTGATATGGATATAAGTAACATGGGCATAGAAAAGAAGAAAATAAAAATTTACAAAAAAAAAAGGAAAAAAGAAGAGTAAAAGACAGATATACCTAATCTAATAAGTTGTAATGTGGATGTAGCTTTCTCAATCCTCACCTTCCCTCCCTCACCCTCACCCTCACCAAATCCATCGTCCTTTTATACCTGTGATGTAAGAACTTTCCTCATCTCATTTGCACAGTCACGCTCAAACTCAACTCACAAAGAAACACACAAATTATCTCTCTCGAATCTCAACCAAATGAAGGTTAGAAAGTTGCAAGCCTAGTTGATTAGCGTTACATTTAATTTTCATAATGTCGCGTCTTTTAATTTTGAAATCTGCAGAGGTTAGGCATCCGTAATTTACAAACGCAGCTTCTACTAATCGCTATCTGCCTCTTCACCTGTTCCTCCGGTTTAAAGGTCATTGTTTAAGAAATGCTCAGTTTCTGAGTTTCCAATATTTTCTTTTATTTATTTATTTTTATTATTTTTGGTTCTGACCGAGTCCGAGGTAGCAGATCGGAGAAAGTTGCGGGTCAGACAACAAATGCGACGCTGGTCTCAGCTGCCAAACATGTCCCTCCAATGGGAATACCCGACCCAGATGTTCGCGGATACAACCTCTGAACCCCACTTCTAAGGTTACTTCATTTTCCTCAATTTTTATTTATTTTTATTTTATTTTATTATAATTTCTTTGACGGAGTTGAATTGTGTTCAGGTGAAAGGGCTACCGTTTAACCGTTATTCGTGGCTCACCACTCATAACTCGTATGCTTTGGCCGGGGCGAGATCCGCCACTGGCTCTATCATCATAGCACCCATGAACCAGGAAGACACTGTCGCTGATCAACTCAAGGTAACATTCTCTTACTTTCCTTTACATTTTTTATAATGCAGATTTGCTGTATGCTGAAAAGAACAAGGAAAGTTTCAACTGAGATTCCCCCAAATTAACTCCTATTAATTTATTTCTAAATTACGAATATCGCATAACACAACTAAGATTATGCTTCCAAATGCCAAAGTGTGTTACCAGAATATTGATTCACAAATTAGTTGTTTTTTATTTATTATTAAAATCATTTCCAAAATAATTGCAATAACAATATTTTATGAAAAAATAGTAATTATAACAGTTTTTTCGTAATAAAATATTTTAAAAGGTCTTTTTTATTAAAAAATAAAAAGTTGTAACTCTCTCTCTCTCTATTTTCTTTTCTTGTTTTTTGTGTTAACAACCATAATTGATTTTAAAAGGGACTGTTGCAACCAACATGTCTTTTTTATTTATGTTGGTGAGTAACCAAAATGTCTTTTGATTCGTGTAAAACTAGTTTTGATTCTTAAGCAAAGTGGGGTTACCCAAAAAAGGGATACTGCAATTTGCAAACATTATTGAATTCTATAGACATGCATTGGACGGGGTCCATCCTTTGATTTATTTGTTGGCATTTGCTTTCCATGTGAATAAACATTTCTTTGTTTAATATTGAAGGTATACTAGTTGAGGTTGAAAATTTAAAATTCAGTAGAGAATCTAAACGCTAGGGCTTGTTTGATAAAGTTTTGTATAATTTAAACATCAAATATTTTATTTTGGAATTCTATTTTATCTTGAATACGTAGAGCTTACTTTGGGAATTGATATGCCTCAAACGACGTTGAGATGCGTGAAAGTTGCAACTCTGTTTTCCTGCATAAACAAACGGATGCTTAGTTCTTATTTGCTTTTAGAACGGCCTAAAGAATTTTTTTCTGAAATAATATTTTTTTAAAATAAAATTACAAGAATGATCACTGTGCAGGATTATTTACCAAGATAGAACCATTTACTGTTCAAGCTCAGAATTCGGTTCCCCGGGAACCGAATTCTGAGCATCAAAATGTAATTTTTTTTGTTTTTTCAACTCAGAATTCGGTTCCCGGGGAACCGAATTCTGAGTTGGTTTTAAATTTTTTTTTTTTTTCGAGTATGGGAACAAATGTGGGCTGATCTGGGAAGCGGAACGGCCCGTTCTGCTTGTTCTGCTTAAAAAAACAGAGTGCAAATTCTGAATTTGCACTCTGTTGCAGAACGGGCCCGTTCTTCTTAAAGAATTTGCACTCTGTTTCTTTAAGCAGAACGGCCCGTTCTGCTTTTGGAACGGGCCGTTCCGCTTCCCAGATCAGCCCACATTTGTTCCCATACTCGAAAAAAAAAAAAAATTAAAAACCACCCCAGAATCCGGTTCCCGGGGAACCGAATTCTGAGCTTGAACAGTAAATGGTTCTATCTTGGTAAATAATCCTGCACAGTAATCATTCTTGTAATTTTAAAAAAAAAAAAATATTATTCCAGTAAAAAATTCACGGCCTAAATTGTAATTTTAATTTAATTCTAATTATATAATCTAATTCACAATTTTAATCTATTAATTTTAAATTTCTTAATTTAATTCTGTAATCTTAAAAATTTATAATTTTAGTCTCTCGATAAATATTATTTATTAATTATTAAAGTTATTGATATAATTATGATTTAATATTAAATAATTGATATAATAATTAATATTGATATATTTAATAAATATTTAAGTTATTTTTTTTCTTATTTTTATTTTATTCTATCACTTTTAATCATTTATGACATAAAAATTAGAATTAAAAATAAAATTTAGTCTAAATATTTACTTAATATTTGATCATATTTTAATGATCAACAAATAAATATTTATTAAGAAAAAATTGATTTTTTTTAAAATTAATGATTAAAATTATAATTAAAATTTAGATAAACAAATTTGCAGATTAGATATGATATAAACTCAGGTCAGGTGTATAATTTAGCCTTTAAAATATTATTATCATAGTATTGGTTTTAATAAAGTTAATTAAATTTTTAAATGCGAGTGAAACGTGTACTTATGTTAATCTTCAACATTTTTTATTATTAAATCGTACATTAATTTTAGAAACGTAGAGAATTAATTTTATAACTTTTAAAAGCCGTGGCCTTTTTCGTTTGGAAAACAAACATAGATGGTCACTGGTCAGTGTGAATCATGTGCTAACTGGTACATAATAATTCAAGCATGCAGAAGCTGTCTTTTGACTTTTAAAAAAAAATGAAAGAGAATTTTTTTTTTTTTGGAGTGGGGGGAGATATTCATTGTGAATATAGCAAATAAAGCAAAATAATTGTATTTATTTGGCAATTTTTTAATTAAACAATTACATATAAGTTTAGTCTCTGGTGTGATGAATGAAGTAATCACATTTAAAACAAGATATATCCCATTTGAATAATTCACCCATTAAATTTGAAGGATAAAAACGTCTCGATGAATTATAAACAAATTGTGTATTCAAATTTTGCTCCCTGGATCATTCGTAAAATTCCAACTCTAGTTTTGCTCCCTTACGTTAAGTTTTAAAAAATAAAGTACTTATATTATAGATTATAGAATTGTGATAAAATATTTACATATTTGATGCTTTAATGTATGATTATGATTACTTCGTAATTTATGCGTTATATTTCTTGATTTTGTATTGGATATTTTGACAGAACGGCGTTAGAGGATTTATGTTAGATATGTATGATTTTCAAAACGACATCTGGTTGTGTCACTCCGCTCAAGGCAAATGTTACAACTTCACTGCATTCGTAAGTGCGTGACCTTGCTTTCTTCAATTTCGTAATGAGACAAGTTTGGTCCAAATTTGATATAACATTCAAGTGTCTGTGTCAACATGCATGCAGCAACCTGCCATAAACGTGCTTAAAGACATGCGGTCATTTCTAGATGCAAATCCATCTGAAATCATCACCATCTTCATTGAGGACTACGTCACAGCTCCACAGGGCTTAACCAAGGTTTTCAAAGCTTCAGGCCTCAGCAAGTACATGTTTCCACTGTCTCGCATGCCCAGTAATGGTGGTGATTGGCCAACCGTAGATGACATGGTGCAGAAGAATCAGCGTTTAGTCGTTTTTACCTCCAAGTCATCAAAGGAAGCTTCTGAGGGCATTGCTTATCAGTGGAAATACACGGTAGAAAACCAATGTGAGTTTATTAACCGGAAACATGTTTTCCCCTTAGACTCATGACCGATTGACATTAGTTCTGATCAACTAATGTGGTTATTTGTCGTATCTTGTATATCCTTAATTTTTATGTGCCATTTTCCTTCAAGCCTCATCATCGGACTATTGTGCTCGAGGCTGAAGGGTTGTGGACCCTCCTAGGCTAAATGTCAATCTAGCACCGGTGCAGAAGAGAAATGCTAATAACTAATCATGATTATATGTGGGAATTTCAGATGGAGATGAAGGCATGAAAGCAGGTGTATGTCCAAGCCGTGCGGAATCACCTGCAATGAACACAAAGTCTAGATCGCTTGTGGTGGTAAACTATTTTCATTCTGCTCCAAATCGTTCTCAGGCCTGCGCTGACAATTCGGCTCCACTACTTAGCATGATGAAGACATGTCATGAAGCAGCCGGCAAACGTTGGCCAAATTACATTGCTGTTGATTATTACCAGGTAGTTACTTGTCTAAAATTTTTATCATATCACTCATTATGCCATTCATTAATTACACTAATGATCTTTTAAAGAGAAATGATGGCGGAGGAGCATCAGAAGCCGTTGATGAAGCAAACGGTCATCTCACTTGCGGGTGTGACAACATTGCTTATTGCAAGGTTTGGTTTCTTCCACCTTATGCGTAGTTAGTACTGAAAAGTAACGAACTGATCTTATGTTACGAAATGTAGAATGATTAAACTGTGGTAATGTATATACATTGGAAACCTTAAACCATAATATTTAATGACATGCAGGCAAACGCTACGTTTGGCACTTGTGATGTACCTCCTATTTCTCCACCTCCACCTGCTACAGAAACCCCCTCCGAAGGCCAGCAGTCCCAAAATAATAATCACGCAAACAATGCTTATATTGGTAGAACAGCCGAGTTGATGCAATCGGTTGTGGTAATTTTGGCTACAACATCTCTATTGGCATGGTTATAGAATGCCATTAGTTTAGGGGAGCTTTTAATCATTGAAAATATGTGTTGTAATCATAGATTTTATAGGCCAATTTGATTCCGAGTATTGTGTGGAATCCGAGTCATTGTTCATCCCACGGCGCTATATGGCTGTATTGTAACTTGGTTTGTTTAATGACTGACATCCTCGAGAACTTATCAAATTCTTGTCTCGTGAAAGAGCTCCTTTCTGCTGGCAGTCGTTATCTGTGTACGCTATTTATTGAAGAATGTAGTTCCATTATTGCTATTGAATCGCCAAATGAACAACTTCCAAATTTGAGGAGCAAGTGATGCCTGAATTCTTTTATGATCATAAAAGTTGAGATCAGATGAAGATTTGCGAGATCCATAATGCACAGTTGTGGGGCTTCTCTTGTACACAAGACAAAGTCCAATAATAGTGTCCAGCCTTCTAAAAAGACGATTCCATTAATGGAACTATCCGAGCCTCTCCAAAACACATGGGTTCCCCACTTGACAAGAAATTGGACTGAAGGACCAGTGTGATGAAGTGGAAATATCCTGTCATCTAATCTAATGCCAGCTACTTGTACTGTGTCTAACCAGTATGCAGTATAATGGCCACACAAACCAAAAAATATATAACCTAGTGTGTGGCATTAGCATTTAATATGATGTACATGTGAAGTCCACCTTCTAGGTGCATGTCATTTTACAACGTTGACAACGAAGTATGTTTTGATCTAACAACGTTCAAGCAGATCAAAACAAGATATCGATCAATGCATAATAATCTTTTATTGGGTGAATCGAACAATATGGCTAAAATTTACATGAGCGAAACCTCTAGCTAGAATCATCCTTTAAAAAAGGGCACAGAATGCGGAGAAATCTCGATGTGGGAGTTATGCGAGTATACGCTGAGGTATAGAAGGCGCAAACAGCCTATAGAGAAAAGTACGTTATGGCCCGATGGATGCAAATTGTTTGGCCTTCGGCAATGACAGGTTGTAAAGGGAGCCACAAGTTTCTGGGTCACTCAAGAGACAGCTATGCAAATTTATTGCTGGTCTATTTGAGGGTTCGCTCTTGTCTCATTAGCACTCGTCCCGTTTTCAAGCTTACCACTATCAACTGATACACTCGCTTCCTCTTTCAACCCATCCCCTACTACTCTATCATTAGGTGAATGTCCTGCATCCCTTCTAGCTCTGCGATCCTGTAACAACATAGCACTTGATCAACAGGTAAAAAACAAACAGTTCCATGGTGAAAAAAAATCCATGGTTAGATGAATAATATTTCATGAAGCTTGAACTAACACAAGACTTGTAAGAACCGCACATTCTGCAGAGATTACTATAGCATAAATGAATGTAAATATCCCTTTAGTTATCGAAATATGTAGTCACATGATATCCAGGTTTAAATACGCATCCATAACGAGGTCATGTATATACTATAGGCCACAAATGGAAACTTCATAATATGGTGATTTAATTTGAAGAACAAGGGATTGTTTGTTATTTAGTCTTTATTGATATTTAAATATGTTCCCTTTTAACTTTTGCGTCTTAATTTATCCTCCCAGTTAATGAAAGTGTTAACACATGCTATACTTCTTCATGCATTAACTAGCACTATACTGAGGTTGAATTAACTTGACCAGAAATGATTATTACCTCTTTGTAAGGGGAATCTTCAGCTTCAAGCATGTGTATCACATGCCCCATTTTAGGCCGCTTTTGTGCATTAGGATCTGTGCAGCGTAAGGCTACAAGAAGGGCTCGTTTTAGTGCCCTCGAAGTTGGTTTCTCAGGGAGCTTGGGATCCAACACTCCCTCTGGATTTCTGTTACTAACCATCTTCTTGAGCCAGTCAACTAAATTTACCTGAAAATCTCGAGTTTTCAGCAACAAGTAAAAAAAATGCAACGACAGGGATTTTCATAACACTAAATTCATAGATCATACCTCTTCTGCAGGCCTACTATAATCAACTGGATTCCTTCCTGTAATTAGTTCCATAATAAGAATTCCAAAGCTATAAACATCACTCCGTTCATTCAACATGCCAGTACTTGCATATTCAGGAGCAACATATCTGCCAAAACAAGAACAAGTAAGGGAATTGCTAGCAACTCAACGTGAACATGCACAATATAGGAAGGGCAAGGAGAGACTATACAAACCCAAATGTACCCATGACACGGGTTGTAATATAGCTGTTGTCAGAGCCAAGGAGTTTCGCGAGGCCAAAGTCCGACACCTTTGCATTCCACTGCTTACTAAGCAAAATGTTGCTTGATTTAATATCACGGTGAACAACTTTTGGTTCCAACCCCTCGTGAAGATAAGTTAATCTGTTGAAAAACAAACCCGCCAACATGAAAAGAGAAAGCGCATCATAGCAGGAGAAAACCAAATAAATTGGTTGTTTGGCGTTTACCCTTTAGCCGTTCCCAGAATAATGTTCATCCGAATTTCCCAAGTTAGTGGACTGCAAGGCCCAACATCCCCATGCAGCCACTGCTCCAAGTTACCATTGTCAACGAACTCATAAACAAGCATCCTGCGAAAGAAACAAAAACCTCGTATCACCAGCTCATAGCTATAGCACTGCAAAAAAAAAATCTTTTCTCCGGTATCCTCCAGTTTACTAATCTTGCTCACAGTATTGGGACTTGCTCGCACATGGCAGTGGTGATTAAAAAAATAAAGAGAATAGAGTACCTATGAGCTCCTTCAGCGCAATAACCAAGCAACCTCACTAGATTCTTGTGGCGAACTCGTCCTATAGCTTCCACTTCAACCTTAAACTCCTTCTCAGCTTGCCCCCTACCGTTATTAATTAATGAAACACCAATCTCATCATTATGAACTAACTATTGAATGCAAAACATGATTAGAAAGAAGAAAAGAAAGGAATTGACCTATTATTGAGCAAATTCTTAATAGCAACATGAGTGTTATCGTTCAAGATACCATGATAAACAATTCCATATCCACCTTCGCCAATAACATTATCAGGGGCAAAGCCGTTAGTGGAATCCTCGAGTTCCCTTAGAGTGTACCAGTGGCCCCAACCCAAGTGAGAAACTTCAGGAATGACGGTGGGAGGCTGAACCTGAGCCTGAGCATGAGCCTCGTCGTTGGAAGAGGAGCGAAGCAAGGCACGTTCGGGGTAGGAGATTCGGTGGTTCTTCCCAATCTCGAACTGAATCCGGTGGTAGGGGTTGGTTTCCTCCTCGGAGTGACGTTCGGCGGCGGGAAGAGGGTCAGGGTCGGGAAAAGGGTCGGGTTGGAGGGTGGGATTGGGCGCGTGGGTGGTGTCGAGCCTGATTTCTTGGATCTCCTTGGAGACGTCGGGGATGGAAACGGGGTTGGTTTTGGAGCGCTTGAAGGCGAGCCAGATTGAGATGAGGAAGAGGAGGAGGACGATGGCGGCGCCGACGCAGACGCCGAGAACCACCCACAGGCGGAGGCCGAAGATGGAGGTAGGGTTGGAGAGCTGGTCGTTCATTGCGGTGGTGGTGGTGGTGGAGTGATCGGGCATTGCAATTTGCAAGAGAAGTAGGCCTTGTTCCTCCACTCGTGTGAAGAAGAGAAGAAAATAGAGAATGAGAAACCGTACAAAAAAGAATGCAGCTGGCATGGTGGGAGTGGGACCCTGCTTTATGCAATCAATTGCAGTGTCTGAATGCTACGTGTGTGAAATCTGAATCCTCAATTATCAACTCTCACTCGAGTCCATATACTATGCTACTGCTTTCCATTTCCACCATTAACGCTAACTCTAGTTTTTCCTAATCATTCCTTTTACCATGCTTTCCTTCCCGCCACCACGCGTCAACCCTTTCTACTTTCTACAACAACACTTCTTCAACTCCCATTATCTAATCACACCTTTTTTTCTTCTTCCTTTTAATAATATCCAAATTCAATATTTTATTTTAATTAAATAATTATTGCTAACATAAAAATATAATTTCAATCTTATAAAATTAATGGATCGCCGTGTATAATATATGAATGTGAATTACTTTTTCATAATTTTGCTTTATGCATGATGATTGATGACTGATGAGATGTTACATGTTTGGAGCCGTTGTTTATTTCCATGTTGTATTTAGTTGGTTGGGTTGCTGTTTAGAAATATGACAACTGCTTTTTCTTCGGCTAATTTAAAATGTTTAATTTGAGGAATTTGCTGTTATTTATTCGATCATTTAATGTGTATCAGCAAAATATAATTGGATTAGGTAACTTCGTGGTTGATGGTTGGACTTTAGTTATTTTTCAACCCAACATAGCTTAACCGGCCCCACCAATCCTAATTTGTTTCCTTTTGTATTGATCTATGATGCTTACCAGAACTGCAGTCAAAGGAGAGTATAAAAATGACGATAAAGAAAAATATGTAGCAGTTTGGTGAGACTATCGCACCTTAAACGAGTAGTTATGACCTCAAACATATTATGTGATACACATAATAGGCTCAAATGTACGTAATTTTCTTCTTCTGAGAGTTAATTTCGGAAAATGGCACGAAATTTAAAATTTGATAAAGAGTGTAGTATAAAATTGACAGACCTAATTATGGATACCAGACAAGGAAGAGTGTTCTGATTTCTGTCTGACGTTCCACTCGATATTTTAGCTTGAAATAACTTCGAAACATTTTTTTTAATTACACGATAATAGCTTTTACATGGTATTCGTACGAAAATTTGAGCCTAAGAAGATTAATATGAGTTCGAAAATTCAACAATAGATTATGATTCTAATAATTAAACGCATGCAAAATAAAGAAATTGTGGAAGGGTTATCATTTTTTTTTTTAAATAATATAAGTGATTCTTAATGTGAATGATGTGGAATTCAATGATCATGTAACAAATGATAAAATGTATATATATTATTAATATTAGCAAGAAAAAGACACTCTATACCTGCATTGTATTAAAAGAAAAAAAGTAAATAGAAAAAAAAATGAAAAATTACTCATAAAAAAAATTATTAAAAAATAAACAAAAGATAAGATGATTCATGTAAAAATTGAAACCAAAAGTATTTATTAAAAATGATATTCCTTTTATATATTAATATAGAAGTATAGGTTCATTAGTTTTAAATTCTTAAATTTGATTACAAAAATATTTTTAAATTTTTTTAAAATAAAAGGATATAATGGACAAAAAAAGTATAAATCAAGGTAGTTACCAAAAAAAGTTATCTCCTTTATATATTAATATATATAAATAAATTTTAATGTAAATGAAGTAAATTAAGCTTAATGATAATGTAGCAATATAAAAATATTTTATATATTTTTAATTATTTATTATAAAAATCAACAAAAATATGTTATATGATTGTTTATAACTAAATGACAGCATAAAATATTAATGCGTATTTTATTTTCTCAGTGAAATATGTGTATAATACATCATTTATGTGCATAATATATCATTGAGTTTTAATATTAGTCATTTAATATGACAATTTTTAAAAGTTTTCTTCAAACGTGTTTTAAGATAATCGCAATATTTATATATAACAACTTGATGGTTAATCACATTTATAATCTTATTTTAAAATATTGTTGTTTATATATAACATGTAAAAAAATAGTTGTTGAAAAATATATCTTTTAAGTCAAAATGTCAAATTGTCAAATATAATGGGCAACCCAACTTGTATAACAGTAATATGTTAGTGAACACTTTATTTACTTGTATTTTTTCTTCATACACCATTCATTTCATTAATCTTCTAAAAATATCTTATCATTCATACACCATCTCATATAAAATGTATACTTTAAATATGTATATTTGTATATCTTGTTTTGTATATTAATATTTATGTCTCATGAGATGTGATCATCAATTAACTCATACAATAATTTAAGTGTATTATTGTTGTTTTAGTCAATAATAACAATCTCAAAGTAATATTGTTAACAAAATCTCATGATTTCTCACACCTCATATGTCTTTAAATGAATTGATTATTCTAAATATGACATTATGCTTAATTAAACACCAACAATAACAATTAGCACAATAACTAAAATGCTCATATCAAAGTCGTATATAAATAAATGATTAATCACTAAAGTTGACTTCACCGATCTCTCATTATAATTATGACCAATTAAACATAAACTTAATGTCCATCGACCTAGTGTGAGCGTCATGCTTATGTTGAGAAGGTGGTTTTTTTAGTGAGTCAAACATGTTATCTAGAGTGAATACTCTACACATCACTACAAATTACAATCCCCTGTATAGATTCACTTATTAAGTGAGATGAAAGCATTTTGAGTGTAAATATGTTTCTTGTATCACTAATAAGATCCAAGTTCCTTGACTTACATGATTACTCTATTTTTAATTATAGTAGAAGTCAATTAAATTTATAATGCAAAAAATGTCATTAAATTAACAATGAATATTCTAATTCAAACAACATTGTTAGTTGCAATTTATGCAACAATATACTCAACTTTTGTAAAAAAAAAAAAAAAAACAATGTCCTGCATATTATTTTAAACTATTTACAACACTAATACTTATACCATTACAAAAAACAAATGGCTATAAATAAAAGTAAAAGGAAATTAAAATAAAAATGAATATACATCAGTGTAACTTTTACTAAATGTTACACCGCTCAATAACTTAAATATAAAGTTACATTTAATATAAAATTATTGAGCGGTGTAATATTTAGTAAAAGTTACACCGGTATCGCTTGAACCCTCCTTTATATATATATATGCACGCGTATTATCATAGTTATTTTAAGTATGCTAATAAAGATAAATATTTATTTCTAATAATTTTAATCGATACATAACTTAAATTATTATAGTTATATACTTTGAATGAAAAAAAAAAAATCAACAACGAAGTAAAACATATCCAGTATTGTCAAATATCCACCATAAAATTATCATAAAAAAGTAATAATAAATATAAAATATGACATGAATTTAATTATTATTCATTAGGTTAATATTTAAATTTAATTTATTATTATTTTTCTAACAATCATACCAATCTTTTGTTAAGGAGAGTGTTTAACCATTTTGAATAGAAATTTTATTTTCAATCATGTTTTTCCACTCCCAAAATTTGAATTTTAGATTTTGTCTAAGATAAACTCAAATTAATTAGTTAATAGTTATCATTACAATACATAATTATTATTATTATTTTTTTGGTTTATTTTTTGAGTATCCATCGCCGATAGTAGTGATTAATTTTCTCGTTACGTTGGAAGCATCTCAAAGGGTGGGATAACTGACCCCAAAATTTAACGCGACTGTATACACAAGACAAGATTCGAACACCTGACAATACATAATTATATTAAATCATCATAAAGCAACAATTTATATTTGTACATTAATATTTAAATTTATAATAATCATAAGGTTTATTTATCCTTTTAATTAATCTAATTTTAAAAATTTCACCTTTTGTATAGAGATTAAAAATTAATATTTATGCAAATATAAGAGTTAAAAGAAAAAAAAAAGGCAAACAGACATACTCATATAAAACGTGAATGAAATATACTAGTATTAATTATAAAGACAAAAAAAAGCTAAAGTATATAAAATAAGAAGAGAGAATGAAGTGGCATGGGCGCCAAAATTGTAACCATTTCCCGCGCTATCTTGAAAACCCTTTAGCGCCGCACTGAACTCTGAAATCTGAATTCTCAGATCACACTCGCAATTCACAGAGCGAGAAAAGAGAGATAGCAAACAGCAATGGCGGACGCGGAGCCTGTAAGCGGGAGGCGAAGGCCGAGGGGACCAGAGGCCACCGCCCGCAGCGAAGCCCTGGAGCGTCTCAAGGCGCGCCTACGCGGCGGTCGCCGATCCGACGACACCGGCCCCCAAATCAGGTTAGAAAACCCTGTCTACGACACCGTCCCCGAGGACGAGTACAACGCCCTCGTCGCCAAGCGCCGCGAACAGGCGCGCTCCTTCATCGTCGACGATGAAGGACTTGGCTACGGCGACGAGGGCGAGGAAGAGGACTGGTCGCAGGCCGGATTCAACCTTTCCGACGACGAATCCGAAGGCGAATCGGAGAGGCCCAAACGGAAGAAGGTCGAGAAGAAGGACCCCCAGCCGAAACGGCCTTCTTCTTCGCTCTCCGCCGCCGCCGCCATGATGGGCGGCCAGAGACTCTCCTCCATGTTCACTTCCTCCGTTTTCAAGAAGAGCAGAGATGACAAAGCCTCCGAAAGCATCGTCGACGATGTGATTGCGGAGTTTGCTCCGGATGAGACTGATAGACTCAGGCGTAGAAAGGCTCAAACGATTTCATCCAATGTCGGATGCAGGGTTAGGGATAAGCCTTCTGCTGATTATTTGAACGCAGCTTCTTTGTTTCCGCCAAGTGCCAATGCTGAGTCTGTTAAAGTTGTTGTTGAGAGTAACGATTTTGACTCGGGGTTAGAGCAGAAGTGCGATGTGGTTAGTGAAGTTCAAGAGTTGGCTTGTGGAAATGGACAGGGACCAATGGTGGAAATGGAACACGATGATTGCAAAATTAACGAGGGTGTAGTTGAGGAGAAAGAGGTGAAGAACGTTGAAATTGAAGTTAAAACGGGTGCGAAAAAGGAGGTGTTCTCTTTGAATGCGAAGGTTAAAGATGAGGAAGATCCAGCACTGTCTGCGACTGCGGGTTGGAAGGAAGCGATAAACGGTGCTGGTGGGGTCAACGCTGCTGATTCGAAGGATGCTTTGCAGAACCAACAACAATCGGAGTTTGATTTGGAGGAAGATGGGTCATTGCCTTTCTATATATTAGATGCCTATGAGGAGTTTTATGGGGAAAATAGGGGTACCCTTTATCTGTTTGGGAAGGTACTTTTGCAGGACAGATTATCTTATTTGAATAATTTTGAATTTAAACCTTTTCATGCTAATGAGTGTGACTTAGATGAAGAAAATGACTTTGATTATTTGCATTTGGGTGAGAATTAGGTCAAAACAGGGTGTTTCTATCAGAGTTGCTGTGTTATTGTGAAAAACATGCAGAGGTGTGTCTATGCAGTTCTAAGCCATCCTTTGCATCGCACTGAAGAGATGAGGAGTCTCGAGAGAGATGTCCAAGAGTCTCGTGTTTCTTCTGCAGACTTCTTTAAAAAGCTGCAGGTGAGCTTTCACTTTATTGATCTCTGGCATAAAATTGTCCATTTTTTGCTTTTTTTTTTATTAAGTTTGAATTTCTTCCCTATTTTTCTGTTAGCCTGGGGTTGATGCAGTCTGTCGTGTCTCATTGTTAAATTGTAGGACATGGTGTCTGATGTTAAGAATGAGATAGCACAGCATCTGGTGAATTTGGAAGTTTCTAACTTTAGCATGGCGCCTGTTAAGGTTTGCTAATTAGATAATTTCTGATATCTTGGAGTGTATATATGAGTTGTGATGCTCTTGTGCCAAGTAGATTTTTCAATGTTTTTATATTCTGATTACTTGCTCATTTTTGCAGAGGAAATATGCATTTGAACGATCTGAAATACCTGCAGGTGAAAATTATGTGGTGAAAATCAATTATTCATTTAAGGTACACTATCAAATCCCTGCACATCCTCAAGCAATAAAAAAAATGTCAAAATATATTTTTGTTATGTACTTAAGTTGATACTCAAGTTGATTTTGAAGAGTAAAGACAGCTATAAACACCAAATCTGTCCCTTCTCTAGTTAAAAAATATTTTTTAAAGCTTGTTACGCATGTGTATTTTTATTTGATTTTCTCAATTTTTTCAATCTTTATCTGCTGCAGGATCCAGTACTTCCAGGAGATCTCAAAGGAGAAAATTTTTGTGCTCTCTTAGGAACAGGTTGCAGGTATTATAAATATTCAGATACTATCCTGTGTGATGTTTTGCACGATTATTGAATCAGCCCTTAATTCAGGAACTCAAATTATTTTCAGAAGAGATTATTATTAAAATATATTTTCTATTTCAGAAGGGAGCATATTTTTATGCATGTTGGTTTAGTGACCCTAGCCATTTAAACTTGTCATATGTATCGCGGAATACTTGTGGAGTAATCAAGCAGAACCTTGGAGATTTCTTTTTGTGTAGCTAAACTAATTTCTCAGTGACTATGCATTTCAAACACTTGTCAGATCTCTGAAATAGAATGTTACAGGAGTTGATTTAATTCTTTTTTTGGTCTGAGGATTGAGGAGTTGATTTGGTTCAAGAGACTAATAACCTTTTCTTTGGTAAACAGAAAAATGTACTTTGTCAAATGAAGTGTGTATTTTAAATAGTCGAGTTGCCTAGTATTTTGCTAGTACCATGCTAAGGGTTTTGCACTATAACCACCCACTCGAAAGAGTGTCC